GGGCGAGTGAAGAAGAAGAGGGAAAGTTTAGTTGAGAAAGCGCGATGCTATTCGTCATGACGATCCTAAGTATCATATAACCCATAGTGATACTGACGAACAGCTCTATAGATCCACCAAACACCTTACAAAAGATCTTGGAAAAGACATCAAAGTCCCCAGAAATGTCCTTGGCAAACTGACAGCTACGTACAGGGCAGGTAGATGCTACCTACCATGAAGGAGCAAATAGCCCGGATCTCAAAACCTCAAGTTCTTGCCAGTAAGTCTACCTTTAACCTGATGGATATCTTTCTGCGGGCCACTAGGAATATCATATCCCTCACGGTAACGTTCTCCACGTATCAGTCGTCGCTTGGTTATAGAACATTCTAAGATGCAAATTCATCTACAGACTATCCCAGCATCCTGCTAAAAGCTATCCCCTCCAAAAGCCCGTGATAAACACTACACCGAACCAATCCGAAACGGGCGAAAATAACTCGGCGCACTCCTCGGCAGAGCAACAAGTTCCCGAAGGGATCCCGGCTATGAAAGGCGTCATTGTAAGGCCCTCCACATTTTATGTTTATTTTTTGGAGTTGGTCTTGGACCGTGTCGAGAATTTGGCGAGTGGGGTTGTTCCTGGTTTTCCCGAGATGTCCTCGTGTTGTCCTCGTGCTGGGATGATAGTATACCAACAATATAGCCGGTCAGGGTGGTTTGTTAGTATTTTTTTGAACTGTAACTTATAGAAGCGTCCTCAATATAAGTATAAGGCTGTACTTTTTATATAGAGTCAAAGTCAATTTTACCGATTTTGCTGGACTTGGAATTCTATACACTCGCGACAAGAATCCTTGGCAAACGTGCCAGGTACCGGATATATTTCCATTCGATAAAGAAGGAGCCAGCTGGTTCCAGGTTCCAGACTGTAGTCTCGAGTCTCAGATCTCAAGTTAATCTCCAATCCACAGAGTTATCCCGAATGCGGTTAGTTTGTTCGAGCTGAGTTGTGCCGAGGTCCAACTTCGCGGTGGTTTTGAGTCATTTTCTTGTAGTTGATCGCTGAGCGGATCGATCTAACTGGTTAGACGCATGTGCTGGCCATTTGTTGCTTTTGTTCCGGTCTGATTTCGTGGGTTAAGGGATGCCTTGTATTGTATGTTTATTGTATAGAATGGAAGTATGGAATGGGAGATATAATGACATCTAGTTATAATACACATCACAAAACTGAAAAGGGTTAGGTGACTATATCCTGCTACAGGCTCCCGATATCTACATGTATATCTATAGTTGTTTGTACTGCAGTTGAATATTGAAGATGTCAACCGGTGGAGACCCGCCGAATACCGGGGCATGACAAAACGGCAGGATGACTCAGACAGACAAAGTTTAATTCTGTGTGTCTGTATCTCCAACTTGTAGCCAGTGAGAGGGAGGAAACTCGGGTTATTAGTGTCTCACGGATATGTAGACAGACTAATCGTATGACCTGCGAGATAGCTCGTGCATTTGACTCTATTATGGCCGATTATCGATACAATTCACGTGAAAATTACTGTATTAGCGTATTGTCATGTGCGTTCGTCGACGTCATCGGCTTCCCGGTTGTTTCCTTCAATTCTTTCATTTTCACTCCATTGAACTGTTTGAAAGGGGGAAAAGAAGATTGAAGTATTTAATGAATTGTTCTTTGCGTTCCCTTGAGGTACCGAGAGTTTCTATTGTAACTCAAGATGCTTGGAATCTGCAACAAACCAGCCGTGGCAAAGCGTCCATTAGACCGAGGATCTCCAGTCTCCCGAACCAATGTACCCGCCTTCCGCCTTTCGGAGCGATTACCCCGTGGTCCATAGAGCATTACTAGAATATGCCTAGGCAATCGACATTGGCTCAGCGTTGTCCCGCCGAGCCGAGCGTTTACCGAACAGCTGTGACGCATTCGAAGAATAAGTACCCTGGGTTTTCTGGCTTGTGATAGCTAGTCTTCTAACTTTCTTTTTCTTCCTCTCCTCTCTTGTCTCCTCCATTATTTTGGATTCTTGAAAATATATTTGATTTACATATTTGATCTGTATTATACCAAAAGTCGTCATGGGTCTACACGAAGACGAAGACCGCAAGTACGCCGAGGAGGTTCAGGCTGTCAAGAACTGGTGGAAGGACTCCCGGTGGCGCTACACCAAGCGACCCTTCACAGCGGAGCAGATCGTAGCCAAGCGCGGCAACCTGAAGATTGATTACCCTTCCAATGTTCAGGCAAAGAAGCTCTGGAGCATCGTGGAGTCGAACTTCCAGGTATGTTTGACGCGAGGACCCACTGCCGATCTATAGATGCTGACTATATACGAACAGAACAAGCAGGCTAGCTTCACCTACGGCTGTCTCGAGCCTACCATGATTACCCAGATGTGCAAGTTCCTCGACACCATCTATGTCTCCGGATGGCAGAGCTCGTCTACGGCTTCGTCTACTGACGAGCCTTCGCCCGATCTTGCCGATTACCCTATGGTACGTGGATCCATTGATAAGAAATTTGGCGCATACTTATGCAGCTGTAGGACACCGTGCCTCGCAAGGTCAACCAGTTGTTCATGGCACAGCTCTTCCACGACCGGAAACAGCGCGAGGAGCGTGTGACTACACCCGCTGGCCAGCGTGGAAACGTTGCCAACGTTGACTACCTGCGTCCTATCATTGCTGATGCCGACACTGGTCACGGCGGTCTGACTGCTGTCATGAAGCTTACCAAGCTGTTCGTGGAACGTGGTGCTGCCGGTATCCATATCGAGGACCAGGCTCCCGGCACCAAGAAGTGCGGCCACATGGCCGGTAAGGTGCTTGTCCCTATCAGCGAGCACATCAACCGTCTGGTTGCCATTCGTGCCCAGGCCGATATCATGGGTAAGTCAACGAATAACTTGCATATTGTAGACCAAAACTAACGCGAACCAGGCTCCGACCTCCTGGCTATCGCCCGTACCGACTCCGAAGCCGCAACCCTCATCACCTCCACCATCGACCACCGCGACCACGCCTTCATCCTGGGCTCCACTAACCCCAGCCTGCAGCCTCTGAACGACCTGATGGTTGCCGCCGAGCAAGCCGGCAAGAACGGCGCAGACCTACAAGCCATTGAGGACCAGTGGACTAGCCAAGCCGGTCTGAAGCTCTTCAACGATGCCGTCGTTGACGCCATCAACTCCGGCTCGCTCCCCAACAAGAAGGGCCTGATCGACCAGTACCTCACCTCGGTCAAGGGCAAGAATAACAACGAAGCCCGCGCCATTGCCAGGGGCATCACCGGCGTGGACATCTACTGGAACTGGGACGCTCCCCGCACCCGCGAGGGCTACTACCGCTACCAGGGCGGCACCCAGTGCGCTGTGAACCGCGCCGTGGCCTATGCGCCCTTCGCCGACCTTATCTGGATGGAGAGCAAGCTGCCCGATTACAAGCAGGCCAAGGAATTCGCCGATGGCGTGCACGCCGTCTGGCCCGAGCAGAAGTAAGCAACTCCCCAAACCAATCTATCATATATAACATAAAAGCAATTGACTAACAACCCTCCCAGGCTCGCATACAACCTCTCTCCCTCCTTCAACTGGAAGAAGGCCATGCCCCGCGACGAACAAGAGACCTACATCAAGCGTCTCGGCGCCCTGGGCTACTCATGGCAGTTCATCACCCTAGCCGGTCTACACACCACCGCGCTCATCTCTCACCAGTTCGCTAAGGCCTACGCTAAAAACGGCATGCGCGCCTACGGCGAGCTAGTTCAGGAACCGGAGATGGAGCTGGGTGTCGACGTCGTCACCCACCAGAAATGGAGTGGTGCTAACTACGTGGATAACATGCTCAAGATGGTTTCCGGTGGTGTGAGTAGTACTGCTGCTATGGGTAAAGGTGTTACCGAGGATCAGTTCAAGCATTGAGGTTTGGATTGTTGCGCTTGATATACCCTTTTATGATGAGCTTGTTCGTTGTTATGTACTACATGCTGTGATATATCTTGATTGATCTGGCGTTTTCCTTTTTCCTTTTTTGCCATTTGTTGTTCGCAGCTTTTATTTGGATTCCCTGTTCGCCTTGTCCCTTTGGGCGAGCTGGACTGCATTGGCATTTTGAAAATCACAGCATAACTTGATTGTTTGTTTTTTGAATGAGTGTATTGCCTTGTGTCAGGTGTAGACTATGTGAAGCTAGTTCCCCAACTGACTTCTGACATCTGAATATTTCTAGTCGTACAAGACTCTGTGTACGGCAATGCAGATGTATTGATTTGGACCAAATTTAATGATTGCTTATGGTCTTTCCGCCTTGTAATTTCCTAGGATCATGATATGCCTCTTTTACTTTTAGCAATGCTACCTATGTGACGTGAAATAAACATGAAGCATCTGAACATGCATTTCAAATGTAATAATTTCGTTGATATATTTTAAGAGGGATCTCAGACCCTGCTTTTTGAGATCTTCTTAGACCGATATCCTAAAAGATCTTGATCTTGATCATGATTCCTCAGAAAGACAAACCAGCAATCAAGACTTTGAATTCTTTAACGCTTCGACAGCAGTATATAGATTCCAGGTATATTCGGACTTAGCTCGGCAACTATTCACAGCCAAATGAAGCTATTGGCCCACTTCTGACGTCCAAAGCTTCTAACCGTAAAAAGCCCTGCGAGCGCCGATCGTATTCAAAAGCGGGGCCTACAGATCGTGTGAAGCCGCGGCTTGGGGATGTAGTATGAGAAGAGCCGCCCAAACTATTCATATTATTTGCTGCTGATTTGGAGAAAATTCGAAATGTCGGAATCATACTACTTCTAGCAAAAGACTGCAAGCAAAAATGAAGAAAGGGGGGAAGTAGACGGACATGAAGCCCAAATCAGAACGTGCCGAGAGCTCGGAGCATGTGGAATTGGGGAATTTGTGGATGCGGAGTCAACTATTCCCCTTACACTTAAACCTCGTCCCTCCCTTTTCTCTTAATAATTCTCCTACACTTTCAAAATGGGCGTTGAACTACCCGAACTGCAATTTACCTCGCTGGACGAGATCCCTGCGCACATCTCCACTACCCGCAAGGCGTTCTTGGAGCACAAGACCCGTGACGTCGAGTTCCGTCTCGTCCAGCTGCGCAAGCTTTACTGGGCGTAAGTGGCCTCGGCTTTATTTTCCTATGCATACTGACCGTACCACAGCATCAAGGACCATGAGGAAGAGATCTTCGAGGCCTGCGCCCAGGACCTGCATAAGCCTCGGTTCGAGACCGAGCTCGCGGAGATCGGATGGATCCTGAACGACATCGTCTTCACCACGCGCAACCTGCACAAATGGGTCAAGGATGAAAAGGCCCCCGATATCGACCTCAACTTCAAGTTGATGAACCCCAAGATCAGAAAGGATCCCCTGGGTTGCGTGCTGGTTATTGGGTATGCGATTCCCCTTCCGCGGGCGACGATCGCCATGCTAACACATTATCCGCCTGCAGTGCCTTCAACTTCCCCTTCCAGCTGACTCTCGGCCCAGTCATCGGCGCCATCGCTGCCGGTAACACGGTGGTGATCAAGCCCAGCGAGAATGCGCCCCGCAGCGCGGCTGTTATGCAGAAGATCGTCGAGGCAGGTCTCGACCCCTCGTGTTACACTATCGTGCAGGGAGGTGTTCCCGAGACTCAAGCTCTACTTGCCGAACGGTGGGACAAGATCTTCTTCACGGGCGGCGCCAACGTCGGCCGCATTATCGCCAAGGCTGCCGCCCCGCATTTGACTCCCGTCGTGCTCGAGCTCGGTGGTATCAACCCGGCTATCGTGACCAAGTCCGCCGACCCGCGCCTAGTCGCTCGGCGCATGTTATGGGGTAAGCTCCTGAATGCCGGTCAGGTCTGCACGTCGCAGAACTACCTACTCGTCGACAAGGCGCTGGTCGGCCCGGTTGTCGAGGAGTTCAAGAAGGCATACAAGGAGTTCTATCCTAACGGTGCCAAGGGCTCGGAGGATTACTCCAAGATCGTGAACGAGGCGCACTTCCAGCGTCTTAAGTCCATGCTTGATAACACTAAGGGCAAGATCCTTATGGGTGGTACTATGGATGAGAAGGAGCTCTTTATTGAGCCTACCGTTGTTCAGGTTGAGTCTGTTGATGACTCGCTCTGCACGTCGGAGAGCTTCGGTCCTTTCATCCCTATTCTTGCTGTTGATAACTTGGACGAGGCTATTCAGCTAGCCAATGGTGTGCAGAGCACCCCGCTTGGTCTGTATCCATTCGGCAACAAGGCCGATGTCGAGAAGAGTAAGCTTCCATCCCCTTTCATGCATCTGTAATCAGGAGACACGGGTTACTAACGAATCTTCAGTCCTCGCCGCCACCCGTTCCGGTGGTGTCTCCATCAACGACGCCGCTCTGCACATCCCTACCCTGCCCTTCGGTGGTGTCGGCGAGAGTGGCTACGGCGCCTACCGTGGACGTTCCAGCTTCGACGTCTGGGTCCACCGCCGTCCCATCACCTCCAGTCCTAGCTGGCTCGAGGCTATCCTGGCTATCCGCTACCCGCCCTACGGCAACAAGATCAAGACCTTCAAGGCTGCCAGCGCACTCACACCGGACTTTGACCGTAGCGGTCGTAAGCTGACCTTCGGCTGGTTGCGCTGTCTGTTCACCCTTGGTGGTGGAACCGCAAAGGCCGGTGCTGGTCGTGCTGCTGCTGTTGCTGCCAGTGAGTAGATTTCTTTTCCTTTTCTTTCCTGTTGATCTCCCGCTATCTTCATGGTTTACACCTTGCACGCTCTATGGCTTTGAATGTTTCTTCTTTTGGGCTTTATTTGGATCGTCGCCTCCTTACCTCGGTCTTCTCCTCTAAATCATGATCAAGGGGGGCAATAAGTTCGCAGGCGAGGATTGCTCTTCACTCAATCCATTCCCGGTTCATTTCATGACTGGGGTGGTGGATGCACATAATCTTGGTCCCCCAATACCCTATATACCCCCATATACCCCCTTCTCCATTTCAACTGGTTAAATCCTATTACATTCTCTATTTTCCCCTTTCTTTTTCCACCGTTACACAGATCCTCCTTCCTACTACTTGTTTCCTTTATTTCCTCCATACCACCTTTCATTCCCACGAAAAAAACAGGCGAAACCAAGAACCTCTTCCTTAATTTGTGAATATTAATGAACCAAGCCCTCTTGATTCTGTCCCGTCTTGTCCCATCTCCCAATTCCTATCTCATGCACAAATCAAAACCAAATATCCAGAAAGAACATCCTCTAACCCGTAACTAGTTGCCTACATCGTTCTCCAAGTCCTCGAACGCCGAGCCAAACTGTGAAAACGTGAATATGCCCCATTTATTGGAAACGCTAAAAACAAAATTTGGTCAGATCTACACCCCGAACCAGTCAGGCGTCAAGCTTCCGGTCGTTTGGACTTGTCTCGTGCTGATCACTCCCTTGTCTCTTACCCTTCTGGGTAATTTGGTGGGTTGATCTCTTTGGGCTTTTTTGGTTTGGTCTTCGGGGTTTGACTGGTTTGGGGATGGGTTGATGGATTGATTTTTGGGATTAATTACTTTTTATATTTGCAATAATTTGCTATGTAACTTTTTGAATTTGATTGATAAGTTAATGTATATCTAGTTGATCTTAGCCTTGGACATTTTTGTCTCCTGATTGGATTCTATTTTGATATCTAACTTACCGAGGTAGTCACGTAAAGATGTAAGTCAAATTCTATGTATTAAGCCTCCATAATGATATTTAACTTAACACATGTCAAAGTCAGATTCTGTGCAGTTGCTCTTAGTGGAACAGGCATCCCACTCATAGGCATTGATGCTTTTGGCGGACCTAATGAACTCCGAATACTTGAATCCTGTTGCGAGGTTTGGATCAGCACCATATTCCAACAAATTCTTGACCACTGCTGTTGGTATCTCCGTCGACCAGTATGGCCTACTCTTCTCTGCCCATGACAGCGGAGTTTGGCCATAGTTATCCATGGAATTTAAATTAGCCCCATTTTCGAGTAGTATCTTCACCGTTTCTTCTCTTTCTCTCTCAGCCGCCCACGCTAGAGGCGTTCGCCCATCATTGTCCCCAAGGTTTGGATCAGCGCCATTTTCTAGTAGGAGCTGAATCATCGGCTCGTTTCCCTTCTGCGCTGCCCACGATAGAGGTGTTCGTCCAGCCTTGTCAGTGGAATCCGGATCCGCGCCCTGTTCAAGTAGTATTCTTGCCACTTCTTCCCCGCTTCGTCTCTCAGATACCTGGTGTTTTGGTGTTCCATCCTCATTGTGCGCATCATAAAGATCAGGCCGATACCCAAGACAAACGAAATTCTTTTCCCCTCTGTGCTTGGGCGTACCATCCTCATTATGTGCATCATCTAAATCAGGCCGGTGCCCAAGACAAACGAATTTCTTTTCTTCACTGTGTTTGTTCTGAGCTGCCCATGATAGGGGTGTTCGTCCAGCATTGTCCGCAGAATTTGGGTCAACACCATTCTTGAGCAGAAGCCGGGCAAGTGCCTCGTAGCCATTTTTTGCGGCATATGACAGTGCATTCAAACCAACTCTTTGGCTTCGAGAGTCTATATCCGCGCCATTCTCGTGTAGAAGCTTGACCACTGGCACATGGTTATATTTTGCAGCCCACAACAATGGAGTGCGCCCAGCTGTTGGGCTTCGAGGTTCTGCATCCGCGCCCTTCTCCAATAGAACCCGGACCAATGCCTCATGACCATTCCATGCGGCGTATGACAATGGAACCATGCCAGTTTCCGGATGTGCATAGTTTGGATCAATTCCATGATCTAGGAGCAGCCGAACAACTGTCTCGTTGCCATTATCGACAGCAGACGACAATGGGGTTCGAGACCAGCAGTCCAGACCTCCCACATTCACGCCATGTTCGAGTAAAAGGCTGACCACATTTCCGTGGCCATACAGTGAAGCCCATTCCAAAGCAGTTCGATTGGATTCTGCGCCTCGAAATTCAATATCCGCGTCCTTCTCAATTAGGAGCTTGGCCACACTCTCGTGACCATACTCTGCGGCATAGGACAAAGAGGTTCTTCCAAGCGAGTCCTGAAAATCTATTGGAATGCTCTGTTGAAGCTGCCGTGCCATTTCTTCCAACCCGAGCTTTGCAGCAAGGTGTAGACCAGTGGTTCGCTTGGATGCATCACAGCCGTGAGACCCACCGATGCCATGTGGCCCTTCTGTATGAAACCAACTACTATAAGTGACCAGCTTTCGTTGATTCACCACAAAACCTGGAAGCTTGTTTTCACCCATCGCCCGAACCCAATCATGGGTGTGCCAGTTTCTGGCTGCATAGGGATAGAGGGCATGGTCCTTCCAGTCAAACCTTGCTTCAAACACATCTGAGACGTTGAATCTTTTATCCTCTTCTGAGGGTAAGTGACTTGCTGCAAACTCATCAAATGACAAATATGTAATGCAGACCCTGGAGAGTTGGACATGTGCATCTGGAAACCACCGCTGCCAGGTTCGCGTGAAGTATTCTTGTGTCGTGTAATGAACCAGTCGAACAATGCCACCTTGTTCATCAACGGTGACCAATCCTGCGCAAACAGAGACCATATCTGCGAGATCTGGCATATTGTCACAGTCAAATTCAGATTCACCAATCTCGACCGCGAGAGCAGTCTGCAATTCAATCGTGGTGAGCTGCCTTTTTGCGCATGTAATCCATGATAGGACCTCCAAAGCTGTATTCTTCTGCTCCGGATGTTGCCCCTGGATTCGTTCCATGGCTCCGTTGTACGCAGCTTCGTATGCGTCCGACCCCTTAGACAGCTTCGCGAGTGCAGTTCGTATCGCTTTAGGGGACTTCTTCCCAATTAAGGAGTCGAGGTACAGCTTCGCGAGAAGAAACCTAATTCAACATTAGAACTGGTTTTGTTTCAGACGAACCGTCTCGGAGACTGACATTCCATCAACTGTAGCAATAATACCTGTGATTATCTCTTTCTGGAGCTCTGGGTTCGTCAAAACGCATCGTGGGAGAGACGCTACGTTCTCTTCCAGATATCTCTTTACATCATGGCTACTTGCTGAAATCTCCCGTGAAGGCTTGCCAGTAAACCTTTCAACGATGTCAGGAAGGAACCTTGAAGTTGCCAAGATGTTCAGGTTATACTTGGACTGAAGGTCGAAGATCACATCCAAGACTTTGTCTCGTGATAGGGGTGATATTTCGCATTCATCCAAAGCATCAAGAACAATGAACAGTTGAGAAAGCCGACTTGCAACTGAGTTGAGTGCTTTTGATATCTCCGCGAGCGTCGGCCGAGTTCCAGTCCTCCTATGTTGATCGTGGAGTGTCTTCAGACTATCTGGTAATGTTGACTGCCCTTGAGCCAACTGCCGGAGCAAACTAGCGAGTAAATTCGCTGGTTTCTCCTCATCCGGTCGATGATAATTGCAGTAAAAGTACGCAATACCAACATCAGAATTATTTCCATGGAGATCATTTAGTTCCTCAATGACTGCTGCTGCCATTATTGTTTTCCCTGCCCCCGGAATACCAGGACAAAATAATGTCGCTTTAGGCGTTGAAATCCATGCTTGAAACTCTGGCGACTCTAGAAGCCACTCTCCTGTCCCTTCTTGGCGTCGACTGATATGGTCGCTTTGCTGCGTGGCATAAGCCTCCGATGACAGCCAGTCAAGTATCTCCCGATCCTCTTGGCTTTGTTGGTGTTGTACCAGCTTTGAGACATTGCTTTGGGTGACGCCACCAATGAAAGCATTTAGAATAACAACCGTGCTTGTTACTCGGCTTCGAAGGTCGGAAATATCGGCGGGTTCCCATTTGAGACGTCTCCAAACACGCTTCGCCTTATCTATTTTGCTGTTTTGATTGTCCTCTAGTTGACTGTATCTCGCGATGGTCTTTTCAATTTCAAGAAGAACACTGTAGCAGCTCTCCTCTATCTCCAGAAGGTTTTTCTTTTGCTTGTCGCTAAGTTCTTCGATGGAGAGATCAACTTCACAATCATGCAACACATGGGAGAGACTTCGAACCCTGTCGAACTCATGGTTAGCATAATAACTGGCATGTATTGCCAAAGTGATTCTTCGTACTCGTCGGAAATTGCATTAAACTGGCTAGGTGCCTCATTGAACCTCTTGCGGATCTTCTCTGCGAGCTTGATGACTGCAAGAAAGTCTCCTATACCAAGCCCAAAACTCATTGTTGATATCACAGGGATAGATAACTACATCCGAGAAAGGATATGCACTGGGTAAAGTTTTCTGAACAAGACGTCGCAACGTCAGTCTTCGCTTATTCGAGGCGGGGGTAAGCGCTTGAATACAGGCCGTGCATTCAATTATATAAGCCTGATGCAGCTCGATTATTCTCATATTAACCACGCAAGGGCTGCTTCTAATCGAAGCCAGCACTCGTATTCTCGCCTGACCATGCGATGATCGCAAGAATAGACCTCGTAGGTTTCGGTTTGAAAAAGTGCATTTACACAAAATTTGGGGGCCGAGAAGTCGGATTGCATGAACATTTTGGCCCCAAATTTTTGGATTTTAAGCTTTTCAGGGGCCAAAATAATTTCTCGTATGATTTTTTTTTTTTTTTTTTTTTTTTTTTATATATATATATATATATGATTTTTCGTAGGGTACTTCTATATCCAGAGGTATTTTAGTGCTCCAGCTCCCTCCCACCTGGCCCTAGCCAGCCAAACAGCATTCCCGAAAATCAACGTCATCCCTACTCCTTGTTTCTGTCTTCTCTCCGCTTGTTTACTTTATTTCTCCGCTTGGGAGTTTTGTACAGCCTATGGGAGGAAGGGATTGCTTTAATGTCTACCTGAAATTAGACTTCAAGAGGGCCACTAGAGTATACAAAATTAGACAAGATAGGAGTAGCTATTTTATTTCTAAAGTAGTAGACACCTAGGTAAATCCAAGATGTATATCATGAGTCATATTCATGCTATCAAAGCCAAAGTTCGTCGAACCGCTATCCAACCAAGACATATGCATAGATTCTCAAACCAAAGAAAGCCAAAAGGAAATTTACATTAATCAACAGCGCCGTTCAACGCCGCGCTTACTCACACAAAGATACTTAACACCCTTGTACGGCTTGACACTCTCACCCAAACCCCGACTGCGGCGCTGGTCAATGTTCAAACTGTCAACCTTGATACCGGAAGGAAGCCATCCTCGCACGGAGAAAGATACAGAAGCCGAGTTTGGCATCAGGCTTGCGTTGAGCTGGGCTTTGGTTCTGCGGGCTGGACGGGAGGTGGAGGATGGGTCGAAGAATGTGGGTAGGTGGACGGATGTATTGGCGTGGGATTGAGGTTGGGGTTGAGGCTTTGGTGTAGGGGTTGCAGGTTTGGAGTGGTCTGGTGATGGGGTGGTGGCTGTTACTGCAACCGAGTCTTCAGCATTCTCGGGTTTTAAAGCGGTTGAACGGGATGATTTCTTTGAGGACTTCTCCTTCTCCTTGTCCTTCTTCTTCTTCTTTTTGCGTTTGGAGGGGTCGGAGGATCGGGTTTTCTTGGTTGTGCTGACAGAGTGGTCGTTGTATGATGCGGGGGCGTCGTAGTAGCCTTGCAGGAGGGTAGCATTGGCGTCCTCGTCTGCATCCTCGAGGCTATCATCGAAGTCATCGTCGGCAGACGGATAGCCTGAGACACTACAGCGTAGTGTAGCGGTACCCGACAATGAGCCCGCGTCCTTGCCAGTCGGAATCCGCCACTCGAGAAGTCCGGTTGAGTGGGTGAATTGGGCGTCACCACGGCTGGCCTGCATGTCCGTGATGTGTCTGACAGACTTGGAGATGGGTACACTGACGACAACGTCTTCTAGTACCGGTACATTCGATCCGCTGCCACTGCCACCGAGAAATGATGGCGTTGATGTGCCGGATCCGTTCCGGCCAACCCCAGGCCGTGACGATGAACTTTGGCCGGGGAAATTCGTGTTCAAAGTTAGTCGGACTTCAAATTCAGAGCCCGATGTACCTAATGACTTGCGAATATCCACAATAGCAGGTAAGAAGAGCTTTTCCATATGGCTTGGTGGCTCATCCAGATCCGGGTCGATAGGAAGGAGGTCAACTTCGTACCCAGCTAGGATGAATCGTCCATCCGGAGGGATAAAGCTTAGTTCGCCAGGCCTTTCTCTCCATTTAGCCAGTCTGACACATGGGTGGAAGACTGGTAGTTCGATCTTGCGGCCAAGGGCATGCTGTCCACCCGGAGCTGATAATGATAGTAGCAGGTCTGGGACTCCTGAGATCTTTGCGGTAAAAGCAATTGTTCCGGATACTAATGCCGAAAGCAGTCGACCCGAAGGAGCCATGGTCACTGACAGAGATTCGATTATGTCGACATATAGTTCATTTGAGGTATGCCGTACACCCGGTCGTCGCCAGGGAATGGCAGGGCCTTGGGATGCACTGGCAGCTGCCAGGGATTGTTTCAGAGGATTGGTAGATCCCAAAGTTGGTGTTGAAGTGCTTCATCCAGCCTCTTTATTAGTAACATTTCACCAATTGAGATAATAGCTACTCACCCAGGGACCCCGATTCCGCCAAGCAGCTTATCCACCCATCCCGGAACCTCCACAACCTCCTGCAATGCATTCGGCTCGGTATTGCATACAATCCCGCCATCGCACATCTCATTAAGCAGCTGTGCGACAACATCGTAGTTGGCATTGATCTTAGTTGAGAGTAGCGGTGCTCCAACAAAGTCCTCGAGGACATCAACCACCCGGTGCAGGAATTCGAGTGCTAGGAGTGGCTCGGTATCGACTTCGCTGATAGCGAGGAACAGTAGATTTGACTCAACAGTCGAGAATACCGTCACCGGCGGTGAAGCGCTAGCTATGTACAGCAAGGAGGGGCGTGGGGCCGCATGGGCGAGGTAGAGGGGCAGGATGGCGGAGGCCGAAGGCGGGCGGGATCGGTATACATGTTCGACGAGAGGGACACTGAGGATAAGGGTTAGTTTGGTGCTGTAAGCTGAGACCGAATAACATACTTTTGCTCGTCATATATGTAGACGGCATCAATCTCGCCGCTCATGGTGGCAGTTGGTCTGATGACTGGAACGCTCGGCGTTGATTGATAGCTATGAAGCTGCGTTTTGCCGCCGATCCCCGCCTTACGTTGAACTTTTGACGACAGACATCTCTCGACTCAGAAAATAACTCAATTTCAGTGATTCTGTGCGCATTCTTTTCTCTTTTGTTACATACTATCGTCTACAGTCAACATACAATGAGTTCTTCTGAAAGCCGCGCCACGGATATCCCTACGAAAGATGCCAAACAGGCACTGGCCGAGGATGGGTTCGACGACTGCATGTCCTGCAGAGTAACTGGTAAGTTGCTTAATTCGGCATTTCAGCTCTGTATGATTTGACATTGTTACTGATACTGCGCAACAGGATCTGCCGCGTTCATTGGCCTCGGTGTCTACAGCTACTACACAGGAATGAGCAACCTCCGCAAACAAGAGAAGGCAATCATGGCGGGTCCTACGAAATACAAAATGGGCTCAAGGCAGTTGGGAATTGCCACGATATCCGCAACTCTGGTCGGCATGGGACTGTGGCGGGCGTTCAACTAAGTGTATACTCCAACATCGAAGTCCACCTACACGGATGTAGACGAGACTAGATATTTTTATGAAAGAGCGAGTTGTATATGTAAGATAATTGGTATTTAATCACAAGCCAATGACAGTTGCCACTCCGGGTATCGGGTATCACCACAGGCATGTCCGTCTATATGCTAATTCACAAGGGTAAGGAAAAATAAAGATAAAAGGAAAGAAAACCCAGGAAAAGATAGAATGAAAAAAAGCGAAAAGCAAAAAACGAAGCCATATGCAAATATGCAAATCCTTTCCTTGTTATGCATCCGAAAAGCTCCTCCATACCCGAAAGCTCACTCAACCGCTGTGTGACAATCAGAATGGAGTATTCGTCACGTCGTCATTATCATATCCGTTACCGAAGCATCAAAGCCTAGGTGAAACGGCCACGTTTCCCTCCTCCTCCTCCAAACGTATCCCGTCCGTTGTTGAGTCCCGATAAGTCAAAGAAGTCTGGGAAAGTGAATTTCCTCTTCGACCCGACAGTAGCAGGTGACTCCCGCGCCGCTGGTCTTGCGTTCGATCGTCCATGGTTGTTGTGGCGGTGGTGGGGCCGAGGGTTGCGAGGCATCACAGAGACGCTGACAGGAGCACCGTCTTGCGTTGGTGCAGATGAGTTGTCCGGAGATTGCTCATCCATGTCGAGTTCTTGGGGGTATGTCGGACCAGCAGAGAATGTGAAGATGGCCGGAGTAGTAAGAGGACTCGGTTCAGTTGGTTGTGTGGGAAGGGCGGTGGGCTCTGGCTTAGACGTAGGAGCAGGTGCCGAGGTGGGGGGCTGACGGGCAGTTGGTTCGGATGCTTCTTTGCGGGCAGTGGTGGGGGTAGCACTTCGATCACGGTTGTCGGATTCGGCTCGGTCATCCTCGTCGTTGCTCTGAGATGCAGTCCCATCACATCTTTCGGTTGCCCATTGGCGAACTTTCCACCCCTCTCCGTCTCCTAGACCGAGGTTCTCACGGTCAAGGAAATGCAGGAGATCCTCTACCGCTTCCTGATATCCAGCCAGCTTTGCCGAAGCTTGCTCGCAAACTGCATTTTTGTAGAGGTTTGTGACGGATAAAGCCGCCGCCTTGAATTGTTGGAGGAGTTGTTCCGGGGGCTGCGGGCGGGGTGTTGAGCTCGGCAAGGAGGTGTTCAGAGATCTCATAGAGTCCATGGCAGGAAGATAGTTGGAAACCCCGTCAGGTGCCGTTCTCAATGAGGATTTGTTTGCTACAGCTTCTGTGGCTGCGCGGTGTTCCTTGTTAGACAAAGGCGATGAGGGAGAGCTCGGTGAAAGAGGGCTAGAAATAGCTCCCGTAGATATAGTAAAGATAAGAGGATAAAAGCTCTAGCACGACAAGAGGCCGTCAAAAGTGACGCCGGTCATATACTAGGAAAGAGCAACTGACGATGCGATCGAACTTGCTCAAGTTGGTGCTGCAGATGATCTTTTGCATCTTTGCGTTTGGCCCGGTAACGTGACCCCACTTTGCGGGGGAACTAATCATCCGAGCTGACTCAGGCCTTAGGTAATGCCTCCTACCGCGTTCCCATTTGCCCTCCCGCGCGTGGATTGCCTCAATCCTACTAATTATTCAATCCCGGTCATTCAATGGGTTTTGCTCATTGAAAGAAACGTGATTTGTGAACTGCCGCCAATTTATTCATACTTTTCTACTGTTTCCTTCCCTTTCACTCTACTAATATCAGCTCGTTCTCTTGTCGCCACTACGCGATCGACCTAGTCGCGAGCTTCTCTGATACAGTTCCACCAACGTGTTCAGCATCCGACCGCACTTGCGCTTTGTGCGCTGAAGACTGACGATGGCGCCTGCCCTCGCGTCTGACCCTGTGTCGCAGGCCGATACACCTATGACTGATGGGAATGACGACACGGTCCCTTTGGTGCCCGTGGATAGCGCCGACGCGCAAACGGTATGTGGTCATATCTCTTGTCTCCCTCGACATTTCATATGTCGGGGCTAACTTAATGCAATTTTTTATTCCTATGATTCAAGATCAAATGCTGACTTGCTCGCAACCCAGAGCTACCAGGACACCCCAGACTACACTGTACAGATGCCCTTGATTTACCAAGCGTTCTCCAATACTCATGGCTAATTCAATTCAAGGACTCCGACACGAACCCAAATACCACAGCGAGCAGTGTTGCCGGCGACATGGATGGCCGCCGCCGCAGATCCGAGGCGAACCACCTGAGAAAAAGCATTTTGGGCAAGAAGCATGGCCGCCTAGATGAATCGAAGGTAAGAATTATTCTTTGATTCCCACGGCCTGTTTATTGATAACCAATGTCTAATAGGAGAATGACTCGATTCGCCGATTCCGATACCTTCTCGGTCTCACTGACCTGTTTCGCCACTTCATCGAGACCAATCCCAACCCACAGATCAAGGAGATTATGACAGAGATTGATCGCCAAAATGCAGACAGTGAAGAGAAGGCCCGTAAGGGATCTTCGCGCTCAGGGGGTGCTGGTGGCGAGCGCCGCCGCCGGACGGAACAAGAGGAAGACGCCGAACTTCTCAGAGATGAAAGACATGGTGGAGATACAACTACTGTGTTCCGAGAGTCCCCCGCTTTCGTTCATGGTGAGCTACGTGATTACCAGATCGCCGGCTTGAACTGGCTTGTTTCGCTCCACGAGAACGGTATTTCGGGTATCCTGGCTGATGAGATGGGTCTCGGAAAAACACTACAAACCATCTCTTTCTTGGGTTATCTGCGCTTTGTCTGTGAAATCACTGGTCCTCACTTAGTGGTTGTACCGAAGTCAACCCTCGACAACTGGAAGCGAGAATTCGCACGGTGGATCCCTGACATTCAGATTCTTGTGCTCCAAGGCAACAAAGAGGAGCGCCAGCGTTTGATCAATGAGGAGTTGCTCGAAGAGAACTTTGACGTGTGCATCACGAGTTATGAAATGATTCTTCGTGAGAAGTCGCATTTGAAGAAGTTCGCCTGGGAGTACATCATTATCGATGAGGCGCATCGGATTAAGAACGAAGAATCATCTTTGTCGCAAATCATCCGTCTTTTCAACTCACGCAACCGGCTGCTGATCACCGGTACCCCGCTGCAAAATAACCTTCATGAACTGTGGGCTCTGCTCAATTTCCTTCTGCCGGATGTCTTCGGTGACTCCGAAGCATTCGACCAATGGTTCTCCAACCAGGAGTCCGATCAGGACACTGTGATTCAACAACTCCACCGTGTCCTCCGTCCTTTCTTGCTCCGCCGAGTCAAGAGTGATGTCGAAAAGAGCTTGCTGCCGAAGAAGGAACTCAATCTCTATGTTCCTATGTCTGAGATGCAAGTGAAGTGGTACCAAAAAATTTTGGAGAAGGATATCGACGCTGTCAACGGTGCTGCAGGAAAACGCGAGTCCAAGACCCGCCTGTTGAACATTGTCATGCAATTGCGCAAGTGTTGCAACCACCCTTATCTGTTCGAAGGTGCTGAGCCAGGTCCTCCGTACACTACTGATGAACACCTTGTTTTCAACTCTGGAAAGATGGCAATCTTGGACAAGCTCCTAAAGCGCATGCAAGCAGATGGTAGTCGTGTGCTTATCTTCTCCCAGATGAGTCGTGTACTGGATATCCTGGAAGATTACTGTGTGTTCCGAGACTACAACTACTGCCGTATCGATGGTACCACGGCGCACGAGGACCGTATCGCTGCTATTGATGACTACAACAAGCCAGGATCAGACAAGTTCGTTTTCCTTCTCACCACCCGAGCAGGCGGTCTTGGTATCAACCTGACCTCGGCCGACATTGTGGTGCTCTTCGACAGTGATTGGAACCCCCAGGCCGATTTGCAGGCCATGGACCGAGCACACCGCATTGGTCAGACAAAGCAAGTCAAGGTATTCCGATTCGTCACGGAGAATGCCATCGAAGAGAAGGTTCTCGAACGTGCAGCACAGAAACTGCGTTTGGATCAACTTGTCATTCAGCAAGGTCGGGCTCAGCAACAAGCCAGCAAAGCCACTTCCAAAGATGATCTTCTTGGTATGATTCAACATGGTGCTGCCAACGTTTTCAGCGCCAAGACTACCGGTGGTGGCGGTGCAAACGACGTCTCTGAAGATGACATCGAGACTATCTTGCGCAAGGGAGAGGAGCGAACTGCGGAGCTGAGCAAGAAGTACGAAACGCTCGGTATTGATGATTTGCAGAAGTTCTCGTCTGAGAGCGCCTATGAATGGAACGGAAAGGATTTCACTGAGCGCAAGAAGGATATTGGCGTCAGCTGGATCAACCCTGCCAAGCGTGAGCGCAAGGAACAATTCTACTCGATCGACAAGTATTACCGTCAGGCTTTGGCCACTGGAGGCCGAACCGCCGACACAAGGCCCAAGGTCCCGCGAGCTCCCAAACAAATCACCGTTCATGACTGGCAATTCTTCCCACCTGGTCTTTCGGATCTCCAAGATAAAGAGACCGCTTGGTTCCATAAGGAGATTGGATACAAGGCTCAACTTCCCGACACAACTGCCGGAGGCTCTACGGAGCTCAGCGACCGAGAGGCTGACCAAGCTCTTGAGCAACATGCTATCGACAATGCTGTCCCACTTACCGAGGAGGAGCAAGAGCAGAAAGCTCGCATGTCCGAGGAGGGCTTTGCAAACTGGAACCGACGTGATTTCCAGCAATTTGTCAATGGGTCTGCCAAATTCGGTCGCACCGACTACGTGGGTATTGCTACTGAGATCGACAGCAAGGAGCCAGATGAAATTGAAGAGTACGCCGAAGTCTTCTGGCGCCGGTACACTGAGATCAACGACTACACCAAGTATCTTCGAGTCATCGATCAAGGTGAGGAAAAGCTTCGCAAGATGAACCACCAGCGGAAGATGCTACGCAAGAAGCTAGAGATGTACCGCGTGCCCCTCCAACAGCTCAAGATCAACTACACTGTGTCTACCACCAACAAAAAGGTCTACACCGAAGAAGAAGACCGATTCCTATTGGTCATGTTGGACAAGTATGGTGTCGAGGGCGAGGGTCTGTATGAGAAGATCCGTGAAGAGATCCGTGAATCGCCCCTGTTCCGTTTCGATTGGTTCTTCCTCAGCCGTACGCCCGTGGAGGTCGGTCGCCGCTGCACCACATTGTTGAATACTGTTGCGAAGGAGTTCGAAACCAATGGCGACGGCAAGAGCCGTGGTCGTGATCGTGAAGAGGACGAGGAAGTTGAAGATGCTGCGCCTGCTAAGAAGAAGGCTAAGAATGGAGCTGCTGTACGTACCCGTCGATTATTTGTGTGTTCTTGATTCTAACGCATCTACAGCAAAACAAGCAAGTCAAGGCTACCAAGGGTGGGAAGACTGGCTCTAACGCAAGCTCCCGTGCCAGCACTACAGCGCCCAAGTCCAAGGGTCGGAAAAAGTAATGTGGCTTGTGGCTTGACAGGGGTGTGTGTACGTTCCCAGTTTGTGTTTCTCGGAGATTCGGATTAGGGAGGGGTTTCGTCAGGATCGGCGTTAGCAGATGATCTCAAGTGTACTTTCGTAATTCAAAATAAACTTATTTTCCAGTTCTAAAAGGCTTATCATCCACCCCTGCAGACTCATGCAGAAGCCCCTCTTGTGGTAACCGGGCATGACCGTAGCCGATGCCACCTCGAAACAACACTAACCCTAAGTCATCCGCCATGACGAAATACAACGCCATTAGATGGTGACCCGATAGCACAGCAACAGATGACTTGTCAAGCCCATTCAAAGCTAGTGAAGACATATAAAACACCATGACGACGCTCGTTTCAACCGCCCCACCAAACTCCCCGTTGCATGACACTATCCCAGTAACATAAATAATATAAATAACACCGAAACCCCCGCAGAGAAACATGTCAATCTTCAAACTCCTCAAATCAAAAGTCACCCACAATCCACCCACCATGACAACCAGAATCAAAATCACCGCCAATCCACGCTACCAGAAGTCCGGCACGAAGTCGTACTTGTATGCCATGCGCAAGTACCGCTTCACCCCGACAAAGGGTGGGCCGTACATGTACGGAATGACGATGCAGCAGACTGGCAGACAGTACACGGATAAGCCTGTCGGAGGCCGTGCCCATTTGCGTAAGGTGATGCAAAAGAAGAGTGCTGACAGTGATCAGGTGGGTCAGGTTGGCGCTGATGATGTTCAGAATGATGCTATGTATTTGGCTGAAGTGGGGATTGGGACTCCGGCTCAGACGCTGAGTTTGGATTTTGATACTGGGTCTGCGGATCTTTGGGTGAGTATATTTGTTGCTTTGCTGGATGTGAGGGGCTTTGGACTGATGTGGGTATAGGTCTGGTCGACGAAGATGCCTGCTGAGACTTTGTTGGAGAATAAGAATCATACTGTCTTTGATCCGACTAAGTCGAGTACGTACAAGGTGAAGGAGGGCTCTACTTGGAAGATCTCCTATGGAGATGGTTCTTCTGCTTCTGGCTTGGTCGGCAATGATAATGTGAATATCGGTGGACTGGTTGTTAAAGGTCAGGCTGTTGAGTTGACCGAGAATTTGTCCGCTCAGTTTGCACAGGGTGCTGGCGATGGACTTCTCGGACTTGCTTTCGGCAATATCAACACCGTCAAGCCCAAGGCTGTCAGCACACCTGTCGAGAATATGATCACGCAAGCCGATATCCCGAAGTCGGCTCAGCTGTTTACCGCTAAGCTGGGGTCTTGGCGAGACTCTGATGAGCCGGATAAGGGCGAATCATTCTATACTTTTGGGTATGTTGACCAGGACACAGTGAAGGCTGCCGAGGAGGATATCTACTACACGCCTGTTGATAACAGCCAGGGATTCTGGGCGTTCGACTCGACTTCGGCGACTGTCAATGGGAAGACTATTGCTCGGTCTGGAAACACCGCTATTGCTGATACTGGTACTACTCTGGCGCTGGTTGATGATGATACTTGTCAGGCTATATATGATGCTATTGAGGGAGCGGTGTATGACGATGAAAACCAGGGTTGGATCTATCCATCTAACACTCCGGCTGATAAGCTGCCTGTCATTGCCTTTGCCGTTGGCGATAAGCAGTTTGTTGTTCAGAAGGAGGACCTCGCATTCGCTGAGGCTAAGACTGGTTATGTTTATGGTGGTATCCAGAGTCGTGGTAGTATGACCATGGATATTCTTGGCGATACCTTCTTGAAGGCTGTCTATGCGGTAAGTTTCTCTTCTTGTCGCTTTTGCCGTCGCAATGGCTTATAACCTTCAGGTCTTCGACGTGGGCAATATGCGCTTTGGTGCTGTGCAGCGAAAGGAACTCCACCAGAATCTATCCGTGCCTTCTTAGTCGACGTAGACATATCTCACATATCGGTCGTGTACTTTGAGAGATGTGAAGTCACATGTGGCTCATGATGTTATGTTAGGTTGGAATATAGCTGGTTATGTCAACTTGATCATTTGCCTCGTCACCTCATAACGAACTTCATCTGCTACATTTACATGGAATCAAACACCCCGACCTCCCAAATCCCCAAGGAGACAGTCATTTCAACAAAACACCAAAGCGTCAGCATATATATACCCATAAATTACTGGTCCGTCCACTTGATGATGGGCTTGATCACCTGCAAGGGCATGTCAGTTTGGTCTTTTGGAGATCTCGATCGAGATACGTACAGTGCCAGAATGCAAATCATGCATAGCTTCTTCGAATTTATCAGTGGTATATATCTTGGCAAGCTTATCGACAGGGAACTTCCCTTGCTTGTACAGATCAATCAGTTGGGGAACAAGCTAATCACAAACGCAGGTTAGTCAAAAACACCCCAGGCTACTGATGAAAAGAGACTTACTTGAGCGGGATCTGCACAGCCCTCAATAGCACCGACAATTTTCTTGCATCCCATCATGAACGACAGGGGATCGATATTGAGCTTCTGACCAGCACGAGCCACACCCACAATAGCCAAGGTACCCTCATGACCGAGGGAGTCAATCCCAGCCTGAAGCAACGGCGTAACACCAGTTGTATCCAGCACACATTGAACGCCCCCAGGGAAGAGCTCAAGCAGATGAGCCGCAAGATCAGGGATATTCTTCGTGTTCAGAGTATGCGACGCGCCAAGAGACTTCGCCAGTTCAAGCTTAGCATCAACAATATCAACCGCGATGACATTCTCCACGCCCTGAGATCGCGCAGCCAACAAAGCCGCTAGACCCACAGCACCCATACCAAGAACAACAAATCGACTCTTGGGCTTGGGCTTGAGAACATTGAAGACGGTCCCGGCACCAGTGAGATATCCACAACCCAACGGAGCCAGAACAGCCATATCTTCAATTGTAACACCAGAACCAGGCGCGGCCTTGACAACGGAGTTTTCAGCGACAATGGCCAACTTGCTCATAGAGGATTGGCCGAAGAACTGGCCGCGCAGCGGACCTTTTCCACCAGGGAAAGAGATAGGCGAGTCGGCGGCATTAGGGCCTCGAGCACCACCAAAGTTGAGTATCGTCACTTGATCACAGAAGCCATTTCGGCCATCATTGCAGGGATTGCAGGTCTCTCCGTGACAGGAGGCGAAGCTTAGGAAGACGAGATCGCCTTCACGGAGGGACTTGTCTTTGACGTTACTGCCGACGCGACGCACGATTCCTGCGCCTTCATGGCCTAGCACGGCAGGAAAGTCGCCGACTGGAATAGCGCCTTGTTGGACGACGATATCCTAGGGGTATTGTTAGGTTTTTTTTTTTTTGATTTTGTTGTTTTCGGTGTGGCGTGGGGGTGTTCATCGCCGTGGCATACTTACTGTGTGGCACAGGCCTGTATACTTCATTTCGACTAAGACTTCATTTGATCGCACTTCGTCCAGAATGACTTCTTGGAGTGTAAATGGGGCGCCGGGCTTCTCGACCACGAATGCAGTTGTTGGGATTTGCTTTTCAGGGATCATTGTGGAAGTCACTGTGGAAGTCGTCGTGGAGGTCATTGTGGGAATACAATATGCGAATAATGTAGTTGATAAGTTTCAAAATCCTGAATGATAGAAATAAACACGATTGAATAGTGATCCAAATCCGGGGAAAATAGGAGTGTTTATAGACAATCAAGAGACTCAAAAAGTAAGTTTGATTCTCCCCCGCATGTCCGATCTGACCCCCACAAAGTTCAATCTCGGTGACGAGTCTCGGTATATCGAGAGCGACGGAAAGCCGAAACCGCTGATTCCGGTTGATCCTCGGTATCTGAATGGGCCTGCAGTTTACTTGTTTGCTCATTGTTGAGACAGGGTTCAGCTACAGTACATGAATACCTAAGTGAATCGAAAGTGACACTAAACCAAAACTCCATGCGATTGTAGAGGTATCTCGTGTAAATGCTATAGTGCTATAGTACATGATTATTATTACAATGATCACCACATCTTTGGACTCCGTACAGTTTCCTTCTCCTTCTTAACGGTTTCTGCCACTGCAAGTGGGGTTCGTAGGAACTTCTCCATCAATAGCGCCGCCGCAACGCTCACATTAAGACTGTCAATACGGGCTGGGTCCGACTGCACCCCGAGCACGGGGCTATGACGAGCGCCCGGAATACTAACCGTTGCATCGGCGTGCGACTTGATATGCGAGCTTAATCCAGACCCCCTCACTGCCCATCATCAGCACGCTGGGAGAAGTCATGATTGGCAAATCGGAACCGGACCCAGCGTCCATGTAGACAGATCCGGGGCCGGGCGCATCAGCAGCGTAGAATCGCCATCCATTCTTCTGTGACCGTTGAATGAAATCAACTTCATTCCTCACATGCAGAATGGGCATGTTTTCAGCTGCACCGGCAGACGCTTTGATTGTCACAGGAGACAAAGGCGCAGAGTTTCGGCCCGCCAAGATAATAGCATCGATCCCTAGAAAATAGGACGAGCGGATGATAGCGCCCATATTACCAGGATCTACAACTCCATCCAATAGCAATGCAACCGGGTATCGCTGGCCCTCATGCGGGGGTGGAGGTTGATGGATCGGGACGCGATCGTCGGTGCCATTTACCGCAGCTTCTTCCCGAGTCTGGGGTGCCAGCTCGACCCGGAAGCTTTCTTCAGTTATAGAGTCAACTGCCTGGAGGCCACGCACAGGCAGTTTAGGTAGGGGGATGCCTCCAAAATGCATCCGTTGTGAGGTCGCCCTGCACTCATCTTGTCCATGAGCCGGTCCCATCCTGCGAATGCCATCTTGACTCCAATGTTCTTGGACAGTGCCAGTTTGCGAATCGTGACCTTTCCGGCACTCAGCTCTTCCTCTGCCGCCTGATATATGTAGAGTTTGTATAGTTGACGCCGGCTACAACGCAGCGCCGCTTCCACGGCACTGGTGCCATAGATGAATTCCGAGGCTGGTGTAGTATAGGGAATCGTGTCCGGGACTTTGACGTTCTCTTTCACTCGCTCTGGCATGCCGCGAGTCACCTTGTGTGCTCGAGACTTGGATTCTTTCTCCTTGGGCTCCGAGGGCTTGTCTCTCGATTGTCGTTCGAAGCTCGCATCGTGACGCCGCTGGAATTGTGGCTCGCGGTCACGGAATTGAGACTCATGCTCTCGGTATGAGGGCTTGCGTTCACGGAATGAGGTCTCGTGGTCACGACGGGGCTCGCGTTCGCGGAATCGTGACTGGTGTTCACGTGGTAGGGCTCGGAAGCTGCCAGTTCGAATGAACTCATCTTCGTCGAACTCGTTGTAAGCAGGCTTCTCTGTTCGATCGTTTCTTAGGAATTGGGACTTGTCTCGTTGTGGAAACCGTCGGCCTTGGTCATTTCGAGGTGAATCGGGGAACGGCTCAGATCGCCCTCTTGGTGTAAAGGGGGAGTCATTGGATTTCCGGAAGGGTTGTCGGCGGTTGAAGTTCGCATCGTTTGTACCATCGTATTGTCGTTTGCTATATTGTCGTGGCCCGTATTGCTCTTTTGAAAACCGAGAATCGTGGCCTCTTCTCTCGCTCTCTCGTTCATCTCTTTCGTCTCTTGAATACACGGCTTCCGATCTGCGAATTCCTCTGCCAATAGCCGAATTCAAAGACGCATATCGAACAGATGGACTGAACGGTCGCAAGGGTGCTTTCCATCCCGATCTCGCAATATTGACCAACATCTTCGCTTCTCTCTCCAGACTCGTGAAGATTTTCGAGATATCGAGTGCGGGGTAACGTTTTTCCGCTTATCGTTATCGCGTCGCGCGGCGCGTTGGGCCTTTCTCCGTATGCCTTCCGACTTCCAAGTTCTACCTTGTTTCCTATGCTGATGCTTTGATCCTGCAGCTGATACCTCACTGGTATCAATTTCTCGAAATCTACTTCCCTAACATTTTCGCTTGATTTGCTGATTTGATTTAAACCTTTGGCAGGAGCCGCTTGGCGGTTCCTGCAGCATCTACACATTCGCAATTTCTTCTGCAGGCAAGTCCCTTTCTTCAGAAGCCGAGTCCATGCTGGAGTATCTTGACGACTCCGCATCTCTTACCTCAGCAATCACTCGCGGCGACAACCAAACCAGCCACAGGGCTGAGCTCACCGGAAGCTCAGACAACAACACTACAAAGATGTCTTTCGAAATCATACTCCCAAAGATTGACAATCCCGAGCAGTATGAATATCTACCGGGTCACTTCACGGCGCACCGCGTTCTCGGAATTGACACAACGTCCAATGAGCGAAGGCTCACAGTGCGAATGAAAAGTGGCGAACTTCTGACAGTCAGTATCAATAATTTTGGTCTGAATCACATTGCCTGACTTTCACTTTCATAGATGACCGTCAATCGCCTCAAGAACCAAAGCAATGGCTCCCAAGCACTTCGTGAATTCCAACAAACGTTCCGTGAATCACAGAGCCCGGATCCTATCGCCTTGCACAGGCCACGCACTTTGAGTCGCTTTGGCGGCGATGCACCTGACGACAGTGATTCTGGCATAGATTGGTCGGTTGGCTTCGGAGGTCCCAGGGCTAGGCAGCGGCGAGCAGCAACAGGGGCCTCATTTGCAGCGTACTATCACAGTGACGACGAAAGCGAAGATGACACTAAAAGTGGTTTTGAATACGATGAACCCTCAGACGATGAAAGTGAAGATATTGAAGATGGTCATGATGAAGATGATGAACCAAATGACGGTCGTCGCCGCAGGTTGAGAAGGCGCGCGAAGAACAGAGCTCTTATCCGGGGATCTTCTGAAGGGTCGTTTGCCTCCACAAAGGGAACACGAGCTTCAATTCGCGTGCGAAAGTCCACTCGAGGCAATCTGCAAGAACGAGATGAGAATGACGAATATTCGGAATTCGAAGAAGCAGCAAAGCCCCTGAAGTACTCCGGCGCGAAGGAAACCTTCCATGCTCTTCCGGAATACGCTGAATTCAGAGTTCGTCACAACGAAGCCTGTAAGCTTTGCGATGGTTATGATGATAATACTGAAAAAGGACCATTGGTGTTCTGTCAGGGTTGCACCTCAACCTTCCATCATTCTTGTCTTGGACCTCGATCAGTTCGGAAACATTTAGTCACCAAGGTTGACGAGGGCGTATTCGTTCTTCAATGCAGCTATTGTGTGGGAGCTGCCACAGAACGACATGACCTAGTTCCTCACTTAGGCCACTGCGTTGTGTGCAGGACGGAAGGCCCTATGTCAAAGCCTTTGCGACAGCGTCTTACACCTCGGGAAGAGCAAGAACTGCGACAAGCGAATGGTGGCACCGACCCAATCACCACTATTGATATGTCCCGTGTGAATAACATTGACAACATCATGGTCAGGTGCACCACTTGCGAAAGAGCATTCCATTTCAATCATCTTCCAGGTGATGGCGAACAAGACCCTACCCAACTTCCTAGTGACGGCTGGCAATGCAAGGATTGTTCCGATACCCCTGCTGACATAGGTAGTTTGGTCGCATGGCGGCCTATTGACCCCAATTCCAAGAACAACTTAGTTGAAATCAAAGCAGAGATTGATAAAGAATACCTCGTCAAGTGGAAAGGCAAGTCCTATTTCCGTGCCACCTGGATGCCCGGAGACTGGGTCTGGAAAAAGGCCGTCACGGCAACGCTCAAATCATTCTTCCGGCATCCCAGGGCTATCAAACCCATTCGGACCACCGAGGAGGCAATTCCCGAAGATAATCTGCGAGTTGACGTCGTGTTCAAGGTAAAATACTTGGATGAGGCCAGGCTCCCTGACGATACAACAAATCCCAAAATGATCAAAACTGCATATGTCAAGTACAAAGGGTTGCCTTATGAAGACTCGGTTTGGGAAGAACCTCCGAGTGACACGGAACGATTGGAAGACTTCAAGATAGCTCTTGATGACTGGGTTCTTCGAGACGAGATTCATCCTCCACAGCTAAGCGTACTCAAGAAACGTCTTGTGGTTGCCCGTTCCAAGAACTTTGAAGAGAGCCTCGTGTTGCGAACACAGCCAGCGCTTGTTATCGGAGGTGAACTCATGGAGTACCAAATGGACGGTGTAAACTGGCTTTACTACATGTTCCTTCAGCGAACAAATGCTATTCTTGCTGATGACATGGGACTTGGAAAAACCATTCAAGTTTTAACTTTCTTCGCGGCTTTGATTGAAAACCACGAGTGTTGGCCGTTCTTGGTCGTCGTTCCCAATTCAACAGTCCCGAACTGGCGGCGCGAGATCAAGACGTGGTCACCCAAGGTCAAGGTTGTCACATGGTACGGAAGTGCCTTTGCTCGTGAAACCGCCAGGAAGTTTGAGATGTTCAACGAAAATGGAGAAATGTGTTGCCATGTTGTCGTTGCATCCTACGAGAGCATGATTGACGATGATGCAAAGCGTGTTCTTGGTAAAGTCGATTGGGCCGGCCTAGTAGTCGACGAAGGACAACGCCTCAAGAGCGACAAGACCCTGCTTTATGATCGCCTGTATCATATGGACTTCGGCTTCAAGGTTCTTCTTACCGGCACACCCCTTCAGAATAACATTCGCGAACTGTTCAACCTGCTGCAATTCCTTGATCGCAGCAAAGATGCCGAAGCTCTGGAGGAACAATATGGAGGAGCCCTTGACCGGGAGGCCATTCGGGAGCTCCACAGCATGATCCGACCCTGTTTCCTGCGTCGCACCAGAACAGAGGTCTTGCCTTACCTTCCCCCGATGGTGCAGATCATCATTCCGGTTTCCATGTCGGTTGTGCAGAAGAAGCTGTACAAGTCGATCCTTGAGAAGAATCCCCTCCTCATCAAAGCCATTTGCAAGAGGCAATCTGGTCCAGTGCCGAAGAAGGACCGGCAGAACTTGAACAACATCTTGATGCAGTTGCGGAAATGCCTCTGTCACCCCTTCGTATACAACCAAGATATCGAGGAACAAACTTATGATGTTGAAGATTCTCACAAGCAGTTGGTCGAAGCATCTGGCAAGCTGAAGTTGTTGAACTTGATGCTTCCCCGGCTTCACCAGCGTGGAAACCGAGTCCTAATCTTCAGTCAGTTCTTGCGGAACTTGGACATAGTTGAAGACTTCCTCAATGGGCTTGGGCTGAAGTTCCGTCGTCTGGATGGAGGTATGGCCTCAAGAGATAAGCAGAAGCAAATTGATGATTTCAACGCACCTGATTCCCGGTACTTTGCTTTCCTGCTGTCGACGCGATCTGGTGGTGTTGGTATCAACCTTGCCACTGCAGACACTGTTATCATCATGGATCCTGATTTCAACCCGAAGCAAGATATGCAAGCTTTGTCGCGTGCCCACCGAATTGGGCAGAAGAACACCGTTCTTGTGTTCCATCTGGTGATGCGTGCGACCGTGGAAGAAAAGATCATGCAAAAGGGCAAGAACAAAATGGCTCTTGACCATGTGCTCATCGATCGTATGGACGTCGATGATGAAGAGGAAGACCTGGAATCTATCTTGAAGCACGGTGCTCAGGCGTTGTTTAACGATGACAATTCTGCTGATATTCAATACGATGCCGACTCCATTGACAAGCTTTTGGACCGGAGCCAGGCTGAACAGACAGAAGAGATTGCCAATGAGGCAGGTTCGAGTTCGGCTTCAGGAGAACAGCCACAATTCAATTTTGCCCGGGTTTGGCAAAAGGACCGTGGCACATTGGATGAAGTAGTGGAGACGGAAGATGTACCTGTGGATATCACGACCTGGGAAAGGATTCTTCAGAAGCGAGAGCGTGAAGCTCAAGAGGAAATCAATCGTCAAGCCGAGGGACTGGGACGAGGTAAACGAAAGCGGGCGAAAATCAGTTACAACAGTCGTCCGGTGGAAGAAGACTACCGGGGAAGCTCCAGCCCTCCTCCTGAGCCACTTGCCAAAATGCGCAAGTCAGCCCACGAGGAAGACACTGAATTCCAGGCGCGTGACAACGACGCCGACGAGAGTGATTCCGATGCGGACATGCACATGGGTGCCGACATGGATGATCTAGATATTGCCCCAAAGGCGCCATGTAAGGACCTTCTTCTCTTTGCATTGTTTACCACATTATCTGGTTTACAATTCTATTTCCTTATCTACTTATTCAACAATGAGTTTTGCTAACGAACACAACTATACAGCCCGCGAATTCCGCCGCGTGGAATCACCTCCTCCCGTCCGACAAATGGGTACCGATGGCGCATCGGACCTATACCCTTCATGTGTTGCCTGCAAGCAACACCATGTGCCTGGTTCTTGCCCACTGCGCCGAGTGGGATATGAATTCTGCGGACTTTGCGGTGTGGCGCATTTCTCTAGCCGGCGGGTGTGCCCACACCTGCAGTCCGTAGTCCAGGTGGAGCGGATGTTGGCCGCGCTAAAGGCTAGCAAGGAGGACTCGGTCCTCATCAACAGTGCCTATACGTACCTCTTGGGTGTTTTGTCCTCCACTGCGCAAGCCGAGCGCAAGAGGGCAGCTCAGCTAGCATACCATCAGTTAGCGGTCACTCCGGCCTCGCATCGTCCTGAGGTGGGGCTACAGATTGTAGACCTAACTGGGGGGAGCACTGCTCTCGATGGTGAGCCGTAAAACCCGGCGTCTTTGCTTGCCCTACCGGGCAGGCCTGCGGTCATTTCGGTGACCAACTCTGATATCAATCGGTTCTTTTTCGCTAGGGAAAGAGAGGAGGGGGAGAGAAAAGAGAACACGGAAAAAAGGGGGGGATGGGAGATGCAGCGTTTAGCGTTCAGGGCAGAAATGTCCTTATTAAGATACCCATTTGTCTTTGAGCAATGAATTGTTTGAGTACTCATTCCTGCGTGTAGAGGCCGCCAGGTCGCTCCCATATGCCGTAGAAGGCGTTCTAGAAGCTAGTATTAACGTTCGACTATGAAGCAGCTAAGCTTTCATTTATCAAACAGTATAAACAAAGGCAAGCAAAAAGAGCGGCTGAGTATCCTGCTGCGGAAGATACTACTGCGTAACTCTGAAAGGTTTCCAAATAGCAATCTTTGCATATAAAGCGTCACAGAGGCATGACTCCTCTGTTTTTCATCACCAGTAACACCTCTCCCTCTCTTTATCATTCAAACAACATACCGTTAAGCCAAACGTGCAATATGGCATCTCCTGAGCAATACCAAGAGCTAACCCAACGCCTTGTGTAGGTAATTGCAGAATTGACCACTGGGCTCAATTTTACTACGCAGGAGTTCTCTATGGTCACTCAGAAACAGGCAGGCCTGATGGATTGAGTGGGAACCCTCAGTCTGGGCCTGCCGATGCTCTAATTTAAGGGGAAGGTGGTCATGGAGAACGAGGTCAGACTATTACCCTTATTGAGATAACATGACTGCGCAAGATGAAGGTATATGAGATATATGCAGGATCTAACTGTGCAGTAGACGATGTGATCAACGATGGAAACCTAGATTCCCTAGGCAACTTCGATAGATGCAATCCTGACACTAGAGCCTCTAATAAATTTACGCCAATCAACCAGATCGGGAATCTGTGGCTGTGGGTAGCAAACATGATGGAAAGAGCGCTCAACTTGATTCACTGAGCTCGCCGACCCAGCGCACCTCCATTGGGGCAAAGCGTCAGCAGTAACATAGAGAGCAAAAGAAGCTGCTGAAACTTAACAGAGAGTGAAGAGAACAAACCGCTAACCTGGGAGAGATTGGCAAACTAGTATGAAATTCCTTGAGATCTCAAGTTGCATCCCTCAATGATTTTAATGTTTATTTCTTTCCTTTGGTGTCAGGTTCGCTAGGCTTCGGATGTTGTGGTAATCTACAATCTGCAGTTTTTGGTTTCTAATAGCACTCAAATTAGGTCAAGACAAGTCACCTGATGTCCACCTAGGACTGTTTACACCACCACGACAGCAAAGAGAACAAAGCAGTATGGAACAAATTGCGTAATTTCCTCGTGTTTTCAAGCTACTTGGAAGTGTTTTTGAAGTCAATTTGGACGTTTGTGAGGGTGTTAATGCTTTGCTGTTGGTAGCACGGTAGCTATTGGGACTCAAAGGGAATGTTTCCTTTCTTGACAGCGGGTGCAGACAGCTAATTCAGTGAGAAACAGCAGAAAACTATCTAGTTGAGGCGCAGGTGGGTTATAATGGCACATTGCTCTAGGTAGTGGGTGACGGGGAGGGGTTGTCCAAGTCTGCAAGCGAGAATATATATCTAAGAGACGTGGATCTTACCCCGGCTCACAAGGAACAAAAGCATTATCTGATCTCCGGGATACAACACCGAAGACTGAATACAGCTGCCCCTCCTTGTATCTAGAAACACCAGGGAAGCAACAAAGTCGCTCAGTATGAGACGTAGCCTTGAGACATGCAACTCATTGGGAGAAGCGCATTTGTCGTAAAGAAGCTGCACAGGGCCAAAGAAGACCCCAGTGACTAGTAATATGCATTGTGAAGGTAAATGTGGCCAATCTGAAGCTGTGACTGGACCATATCGGTACAAGCCTGATAGAAGGCGTTCTTTATTTCAAATGCAGACGGAGAGCTGTCACGCTTTATCTCGACTTCTTGCATGCTGTATCTTCATCAGATACATCACTCTTTGTCTAGATAGTCCATATATTGTGCTGGATTCCACTGTCCAATCCGGAAAATGGAACCTTGTTCTTTGTAGCTTTAAATGACCTTGTTCATGATACTTGTAAGGGATTCTGAACAGTAAAATTGAGTGAGCTTCATACCTTTGAAGCTCGTCACCAAACGCGTGTTGCTGCTCCCAGCTGAGATTTCTGTCACTTCCCAAACAATCGTCTTCCTTTTCTTCCTCCTCGCTCCTTTCTCTTCTTCTTCGCTTTCTTTCTTTCCCATATCCCCTCCCTACACATCCTTTGCTCTATCAGTATTCTGTATTACACTCCACGCGAGGTATCCTTGCGCAATCTCATTTTTTTCTCATCTTGATCGATCACTCTTTTACTCTTTCACGATGTCTTCTCTGGGTGTCCAGTTCTTTACTTCCCGCGCCAGTGGCACTCTGACTCCACTGGTCGCTGTTGACGAGCTTCCAGCTCACGTCTCCATTCGCGGTGTCCCTCGCACTTTGAACGCGAGCGAGACCCAGGGCATGACCAGCTGCGGCCTGGCTGTCCAGCGCGCTGAGCCTTGGACAATTGACGGCCTCTCTACTGCGCTCCCTGTTGTCAAAAACAAAGAGGCACTCGCTGGGCTGAAGGATCTTTTGACCCAAATTGTGAATGACGAGTCTGTCTGTGCCACACTTCGTCTGTCTGTTCAGGCTGTTTTGTACAAAGGTCTTGCTGAGGTCGAGAGTGCTCCCACTCCCACCAGCACCACGATGTCTCCCCTCGCACCCGCTTTCCATGCCAACAACGCCCAGCCTGCCAGAAACAACGTACGTTCGATTTCCCATCTGATGCGACAAGGTTCACATTACTGATATTTCTCACACAGGTCCTTCATCCCAAGAAGGAATACTGCTCGTACTGGATCCGTCACGGCGAATGTGACTACTCTCAGCAGGGTACATCATATGACAACAAGATCTCTAAAAAAGAAACTGACTAACACTTCACAACACAGGCTGCCTCTACAAGCATGAGATGCCCCTTGACTCTGACCTGCTGGACAAGCTAGGCTTGCGTGATATTCCCCGCTGGTACCGCGACAAGTTTGGGGTTGAAAGCCTGATTCACCCTGTCCAGCAGCAACGTGCTACTCCCCGGCTGGCTATCACTGAGCACCCTCAACCTGCCTCTCCAGCTGTTCAGTACGCTAGCTCTACCAGCCTCGAGCTCCAGAGTTCGGCTCCTCAGGCCAAGCAACGTTCTCCTGCTCGCGGCCCTCAGAACCATGGTAACAACGGCGGCCCTTCCCACTCCCGTGGATCTCGCAACCAGGGATGGAAAGGCCGTCAGGCTAAGGCCAAGAACGTCAACCCGTCTCCCGTCAACAACGAGCCCAATGCAAGCTTCCAGTCTTCTAATTACGAGAGCGTCTCCGCTCCTGACAACCACGCTGCCTTCGCTGGATACGCTGGCTTTGCCCAGGGCCGCGCTTTTGGACCTGCAATGGCCCCCATTACCGCCCCGGCTCCTTTTGCCATGCCCGCTCTTATCAATACCAGCACCAATCTTATGGACACCGGTAGCTCCCACCGTATCCCGACTGTGAATGCCGATAACCTGACTGTGGATGCAGACCCCTTCGAGCATGGATTCGCTGAGTCCTCTACCACCGTGGACAAGACTCACCTGAAGTCTAAGTCCCGCCGTATGTATGAGACCCACAAATCTAACAACAACTCCTCCATCGACGGTGGCGTCAAGCTCCCTTCTGACCTGTTCCATGAATATGGCGCGTTCTCTGCTCTTGCCAACTTGGACGAAAATGCCAACAAGTCGGGCCGCGGTACCGATGAATCGTCCATGAGCAACCAGGCTACCCGAGCTTCTTCCAAGTCTCCTCTGAGTGACATCGTCTCTGAGAGCGACCCTCTTGAGGAGAATGACGTTCGCGACGCTTGGGGCCCTGTTGGAAGCCCTGTTAACCAGTCCACTGGTCGTATCCCCGATATTCACCAGCATCAGCGCACTGCCACCGCCATCCGCGGATTCCCTAACACCTTCAACATCTCACACACCCACTGAATGATTTTACCGCTGCTTTCACATGGAAAACGACTTCACTGCCGTTCGACCATGTGTAGCAGCATTGTTGTCCACGTGCGTACATATCATATCATCTGGTCCTACGAACTGCTTACTTTGTTCGTGGTCTGTCAAGTCAAGATACCTATGGCTCATCGAACTGCATTCTTTGTTCCTGTGCCTGACAGTCATGATATTTTTTTATTGCCAGCGACATGATCTGGCTTATTTTTCTATCAAGCAAGACTGGACAACATAGCATTAGATATTCTTGACTATCTGATGTGACAAGTGACTGATGATGGGATGTTATTTTCTTTATTGAGCAATTTCTTTTTGTATTCTGATTGGGCTGCCTGGTACCCAAATCTGCGTTTGTTTTTTTGTGGCATCTGGTTCCTAGTTCTTTTTGAGTTTTTCACTGGTGCCCTAATGGGATGCAGCTCGCCATGAGTTTATGGAGGAGCTTGTGCCCCTGGCCCCTGAGAAATATCCTAATGAAACACCTCCACATTTTCGATCGTTCTCGTTTGTAGAATCGTTCTTACGCTGTTGTAACAAAGTAACGGTAGTCTTTCATGTAGAGCAGTGACAGGATAGATAGGCAAGCTACGATATACCGGTATAAAACTGTCAGCGAGTCGCCAATGCATGGAATAAAATGACTATAGTACATTTGAAGAAATAATAGATGCCAAAGATCCTAAAATATGCGCCCGCGCCTCGCAAATGTCTGACAACAGCTTTTCAAGCACACCCAATATACAGTCTACAAACGTCTCTCACCGGCGACCGATCTTTTTGCGGGCACCAACCTTGACAGCCACGCGCTCCCGCTCGTCAGCAGCCTTGGCCTGAAGCGCGGGGTTAAGCGAAGGCAGGACCTTGATAGCATCCGAGATGACATTGTTACCGTCCACCAGAGCCTCACGCGTCTCCTCGGCGGCAAGACGCTCCCTGCGGCGAGCGGCGAGCTGCTCCCGACGGGTCTCGGTCATGTTCCAGGACTCGGGGAATTGAAGGCGGACCTTGGGCTTGTGGTGACGGAGGTCGAGGGGGATATCGGCGAAAGAGTCGCCTTCCTTGGCCTCCTTGATCAGGGAGTTGACCAGGTCGGCTAGGTAGCGCTTATTCTGAGCGCGCGAGCCGTACTTCTCACTGGACATGCGCACAATGTCGGTTTGCGGGTTGTAGCGCGTACCGGCCAGCTTGAGGAATGTTTGGCGCTGGGCTTCGGTGAGGTACTTGGGGGTCAGATCTTGGGAGGCGAGTTCCACGACGACCTTGGGCTCGGCGGGGTGCTGTTCACCCATGTAGGTGGTGTAGCGGAATCGGAGAATGTGGTTGGCGGGAGGCAGGGAGAAGGGTTTGGCGAGCTCTGTAGTTTAAGGTTAGCGTATGGAAAGGGAGGATTGTGAGGGGTAATTAATCTTACTGCTCAGCATTGGCATGTCCCACGCTGTAATGCGGGCGTACTCTCGCATCTCCCGGTGCAGCTCCATCTCTGTGTGTGCCATGGATGTGATTTCATCATCGTTGACCTCCTCGTCACCATCCTCGACCTGAGCCATTTCATCGGGATCGTCCTCGGCCCAGAATCCAGGCGTCCGGGGACGGATGTCTTCAAATCGCAAATCCTCTGCCTTGTCAATCTGTTGCAACTCTTTCTCAATCAGCGCGAAGGCTGCGGATCGCTTCGCAGGGTCGTTGAACTCGGCAACCATGCGGGTGTTCTCCGCATCGAAATCGGCGCGTTCCTCGGGCGACATCAAATCGTACATGGATCGGAGCTCCTTTGTCATGAGATCTGGCGAGTACTCGGGCACTGGGGGGAACTCTTCCAGTGTGAGTTCCTTTGGTGGTGGAGGCGCCACGGGGTCTTCCTGGGCGCGCTTGAACGGAGAAACTGAAAAGTATCGGACTGAGGGAGCAACCAGGGCCCTCCGTGTCATAAGCCGGGCTGGCTGAGCCATTGACCTGATTGAAGCCATTGTTGCGGGGATACGTGGGTAAAAGTCCTGTCGACGTCTGTTTTTTGCGAGGTTCGGCGGCTCTGGATACGCTATCCCAAACTAGGCTAGCGTGGGTGGCTTCACGTGATTCCATACTGGCATCGATGCTCTTCGATGCGACTTCTTCTTCTATCCTATAAAGCATGCTTGCTGATTGCATGACTCGGTGCATTTCTATCCAACCGCCACCATGAAGCTGTGTTTCGTTACTGTGGGCGCTACGGCTTCGTTTGAGAAGCTAATCCAGCAAGTGCTTTCTCCGCAATTCCTGGAGACCTTGGCCAAACGCCAGTACACCCATCTTCTCATTCAGTACGGCAAAGGTGGCAGTCAAACATTCGAAATCTTCGCAAATGGCGAGCAATCGCACCATGGCCTCATCATCGGTGGCTTCGACTCCAAGCCAAGCATCGATAGGGAATTGATGAAGACCAAGAAACGGGATGACCAGGAGCTTGGTCTAATCATCAGTCATGCCGGTACGGGTTGTCATTTTTACGCGGATTGGATTTGAAATTCAAATGTTTGATCGGACACTTACTTCGTGATAGGCACTGGAACTATTCTTGCAGCCCTGCGCTTGGGCGTGCCCTTGATCGTTGTTCCGAACCCCGACCTTGCTGATAACCACCAGCAAGAGCTTGCTCAAATTCTGAATGAGCAGAAATATGTGGTCAGCAGCTCTGTCCAGTAAGCTACTTATATGTATGGATTTGACTCGTCTGACTAACTTTGAATTAGGGAAATTGGGACTGCCATTGCCCGTGCCGAGCTTCAGAAATCTGAGGTATTTGATTCACATCCTGAAAGAAAGGATGAACTCGCAGGTTTCATGTCTGACGAACTGGGTTTTCTGGATTAAGAGTTCCCTTGTGCAGGCTCTTTTGGCCTAATTTGCGACATGTCAGTGTCGCCTAAGATTGCGTTTCTTGCTCGGCGTTGTGGTTTTTATGATTTACGGTTGGAATTTGCATAGGGACTTGGGCATTTTGATACGGCAATACAGCAATTGATTCAAATTTATCTATTGACCTGGCTCGATATGTCAGGGAGGATGATATTGGTTCTACTGAAGCAGAACTTTCAAATCATGAAACAGCGTGAAATTGAGAAAGACCAAAGGATTTGAGGTTACATTTAATAAAACGGAAACGCAATGAGAACCCCTTTCTGGCAGCAATTGACCTGCCTGGAAAATATCTGCAGAAATGACATTTGACTGTAATTAAACAGTCATCTTGAATCCTCGATATCTACTGTTTAGAGCCTAAGTCATAGTGGCCGTAGTATGGCCAGGTGGCCCAAGCTCCTTGTTGACTCCCGACGCGAAGCCGCAAAACCTCCCTGAATCAGAAACACGAACTACGCCGCCCAACCACCAACCGCATCAAAGCCGCTTAATCACAAAACTCGACTCCACTGATCCCCCGAGTCGTCCATTCTAGGCCGAAAGGCCGTCAAGCTTGCGCCTCCTTTCCCGACCTCACCCCATACACTCCCCGCAATGGCAGAGGCCACCCTCCACAACGTGCCAATTGTCATCGACAATGGCAGCGGCACAATCCGAGCAGGATTCGCAGGCGAAGAAATCCCCTCATGTTACTTTCCCTCATTCGTCGGCCGGCCCAAACACCCACGGGTGATGGCCGGTGGTCTGGAAGGAGACTCGTTCATCGGTTCACGCGCACAAGAACTCCGCGGCCTCTTGAAGATCCGGTATCCACTGGAACACGGCATCGTCACAAATTGGGAGGACATGGAATCCATCTGGCACTACGTCTACGAGAACGAACTCAAGACCCTCCCCGAAGAACACCCAGTCCTCCTCACGGAGCCGCCGCTGAACCCACGCGCCAACCGTGATATCGCTGCCCAGCTTATGTTTGAGGCTTTTAATGTGCCGGCCTTGTATATGTCTATTCAGGCTGTATTGTCGCTCTACGCGTCTGGTCGTACCACCGGTGTGGTCTTGGACTCCGGAGATGGTGTTTCCCATGCCGTTCCTGTCTTCGAGGGTTTCGCTATCCCAAACAGTATTCGAAGAATTGATGTCGCTGGTCGTGATGTTACAGAACAGATGCAGTTGCTGCTGCGGAAGGCTGGTCATGTCTTGCACACTAGTGCCGAGAAGGAGGTTGTGCGCATGATCAAGGAGAAGGTCTGCTATGTGTCGTTGGACCCGAAGCGGGAAGAAAAGGAGTGGATGAACAGCTACCACAAGTCCGATGCGAAGGCGGTCGACTATACTCTGCCGGATGGACACAAGATCAAGGTGAGTGCTTGCGCCAGATCATTCGTCCTAGAGGTCATGACAATGCTAATGGATTGCCTATAGATTGGCCAAGAACGCTATCGCGCACCCGAAATCCTGTTCGACCCTGAACTTATTGGTCTTGAGTATCCCGGTGTGCATCAGATTGTCCAGGACGCTATTACTCGCACAGATCTCGACCTACGCAAGTCGCTGTACCTCAACATTGTGCTTTCTGGTGGTTCAACATTGTGCAAGAACTTCCCCGATCGATTGATGCGTGAGATCAAGAGATTGGCTGTTGAAGACATGAAGATCCGGATCTCCGCGCCAGCAGAGCGCAAGTATACCACGTGGATTGGTGGTAGCATTCTTGCCGGGCTAAGCACGTTTAGAAAGGTATGCTGGTCCCCCTTAGATCAATCTGCTGTCAGACTAACCCGATTCTCGTAGATGTGGGTCAGCGCAGACGAATGGCACGAGGACCCCGAAGTCATCTTCAAGCGATTCGCATAAAAGATCAGTCCCGACAAAGGTCCTCAATGCCACGGTCACGCGCATTAGTCGATCAGCCCGACCGGCTATCTTGACGTGGTCAAAGGTCCATCTCCAAATCTCGAAACAAGCATTCCTCCACGATACAGCGAAATCCTGTCAACAATTCGATCACCATGCATTGCAATTGGCAATTGGCAGTGCATGCAAGAAGTGACCGACCAATACACCAATCCGAGTCCCGTCTCCGCGTGACTTTTGATACCCCCAGTTTCCATTTACCTCCCCAGTTCATGTCGTCTTGGCATTGATTCTGACTTTATCTGTGCAAATTCAAACTCTTCTTCTTAGGATGGCCTGCTTGACGGAATTGTAAATGATGCGCTGTATAGAGCATATCGTCTATCAGACTTGTACTTGTAGGGCATGTTGTATTGCATGTAGCCACAACAAGATACATATCAACTGGAAATTCATTTCCCCTCAGATTTCCCGTACTTATGTAGCTTACCGTATTCCTATGCCAGGTCGGGTTTTCCTATCTTAGCTGCCGCCGCTTTTTTGAGGACGCTCAGAGTCAGTTTCAATGTCACTACCCAATCCCATCCGGATGACGCGTTGCATCCCGCGTGGCGCATGGGATAATGTTTTGGGCTCCCACGGCTGCTGGGATTGGAAGAAGAACATCTTCGGTGATAGGTACGGGAGTGGGCGCTTGTGTTGTAGGGTCTAATTGCCACTGAGAGCTGTATATTCTGGACTGTGGATGGCTTGCGACGGATTGCGATGGAAAACAGTGTCGAACTGTTTACAAGAGCATAGGAGGGGAACAGAATATACGTATATATCGCTCCAAACTCACGCCCCCAAATGAATAGCCTCCTGGGCCTCCAATAGCTGCAGATAAACACCCGCAACATTCCACCGTACATTAATAGTCATGAATCCCTCACGCAGGCTCCTCACCACCTCAATGCCATGCGGTGCTTTACTGCTAGACCCCATATGGGCCCCACAGATGCGATAGGCAAAGTACAGACCCCACGGGGACATATCCTCTGGATCCCGACCTAAGAAGCATTGTCGCTCGATCAGATTTGCACTAATACGATCCGTGATTTGTTGAAGAATAACCCTCGCTCGTCGTGAACGATCGGTGTCGATTTCTTGAACTCCACCGGATGATAACCAGGGTGTGTATAGGGCGACCAGGGCGCTAAGTTTGGTGTAAAAGCTTGTACAAGACAGGGTTGATGATTGTAGTACTAACCTGTACACGAAAGTGATTTGATCATAGTCCGGGCAGTCTATATTTAATGCAGCGGCTAGCATTGACTGCAGGGTACGATCGAGCTGTATCCAAACATCATCTTCGTTGGTGAAGTCGGCTGAGAGGTGATGGAGAACTTGGCCTAACAGCCTGGTGGCTTGACAGAGCAAAGCAAATTTACTCATATGTCCCGTCATTGGAGACGAGAGAGTCGAGAACCTATCCGGTCTGACTGTCTAATTCAAAGATCAGGACCTAAATGACAAAGGTCATGAATCGACATACCCCCTGGTCCCATGCGGCATCATCGGCCGGCAAAAAGTCATCCAATCTTGGATCTGCAGTTACGAAGGGCCGTCCCGGACAGCCGATGCTCACAAAGCTTTTTTGCTATTAGTATCCAAGACAAAGGACTCACGGTGGATAGCGACGAACCGGTCTAAAATGACAATAGCCCACCAGACTCTCCGTCGCTCCTCAACCTCCACCAAAGTGAGCACTTTCCTAGTCGGCACCGTGCGACTGACATTGATACCCAATCCATGGGCATACCTCGCACAAGCCCCGACAGACAAGAATGCAGCCGGGTAGATTCCGTGTCCTAGCTCATAAAGAGCAACAAGAACACCGGCTTGCAGCGCTAAAATAGAGAAAGAGCCTTCCACCTTTAGATAAAAATGTTTAGTTGAATTATACAAGGCCGTCCGAGGACTACGAGAACCAGCCGGTGGGAAGGTAGTGATGAGCTTCAGTGCCAATAAAAGAAGAACAACATCGGGCCGTGAGTGGAATGAGGGCTGTAGGTATAGGTCATAGAACCGCTTCTTTGATATAAAGGGCATCCACTGATGAATATGCTCGAAAAATCGCGCTGCCGTGAGCCGGATTTCATCCAAATCGCCTAGTAGTTGTAAAATATACTGCGGGACAGTCCCTGCCGTAGGTGCAATCTCCACTAAGCTGTGCTGTAGCAGAGCCGGATCGAGAAACAAGATAGTCGGAAAGTCAATAGTCTGAACATCTGCCTCATCTACGGGAAAGGGGTACCATCCTCGCTCCGGGCTTGAAGTGGTGGCCGAGTGGCTAGGCGCCTCTGGTCTCCAATACTCGCAATTTTGATTTCGCCTGCGTTGCCCTGCGTTAGCTCTGCTGCCTAACGTAGTCTTTCGTGCTTACTTGGCGCAGAGGGAGCATCTGGGGCGTGCCTTGTCGCATTTCCTCTTACGCGACCTGCAGGATTGGCAGGACTGCGGGGCCAGGTCGAGGCTGGACTCATGACTGGGCGTCTGCATAGTGAAGGTGGAAGGTGGAAGGTGGACGGCGTTCAGTTTTTTGGCGGGCTTTTGACGGCCGCAGCAACAGAAGACTAAGATGGGAAGATGGCCGCAGAATGTGGTATATAGATGACTGGCGGAGATTAGGCGAAGACGACCGGATGATTTGCGGCCGCGAATGCGGCCGCAGAAGATGACAACTCGCGGACATCAGGCATGGGATAGGGAGGAGGCCGAACTATACAAAAAATGGACAAATATAAATAGCCATCATTGTTGATTCATTCAAGACACTGTATCTTTATTTACATCTGAAAGTTTTCCCCTCTGCTCCTCAATATGGGTTCATCAGGCCCCTACGCTGCCACGCATTTTGATCCCCAAGGCGCCGGAGATGCACGACCAACCGCCCTTCAGATCATCCAAGATGAGGGTGTCAAAGGCAAGCTGGCCGGCAAGGTTGTTGTCATCACAGGAGCCACGTCAGGCATTGGTATCGAGACAGCTCGTGCATTATCCGCTACCGGCGCCACTCTGTTCCTCACAGCCCGCAACCGATCTAAGGCCGAGAAGAACCTCGCCGGGATATTGGAACCCGGTCGAGTCTCCCTGATCGACATGAATCTAGAGCGCTTTGCGAGTATTCGGGCCGGAGCCGAAGAAATCCTCACCGCGTCCAAGGGCCAG